TTGTCATTTCAGTGCCAGTTCTCAAAAACTGACGAAAAATACATTTTGGGTGCATCTGAAACCAAAATGTTTTGAATTTTTCTGCAGACTGAACAGCTGGAAAAAAATCAACCCAAATGAAAATGCTTCCTTTCAATAGTGAGCTTTTTAAAACTTTTAAAAATTGAAAGAGAAGGAAAATTCTAAAAGCTACTGCAAATTTGTCATTTCAGTGCCAGTTCTCAAAAACTGACGAAAAATACATTTTGGGTGCATCTGAAACCAAAATGTTTTGAATTTTTCTGCAGACTGAACAGCTGGAAAAAAATCAACCCAAATGAAAATGCTTCCTTTCAATAGTGAGCTTTTTAAAACTTTTAAAAATTGAAAGAGAAGGAAAATTCTAAAAGCTACTGCAAATAGAAAAAAAATCACATTTCTAATATGTAAAACTGAAACATTTTAATTTTTTTCAGAAGTTGGGGAAGATTTGGTTTTTTTTTTCAAATGGACAGAATTAGGGCAAAATTGACACAAATTCACCAAATGTTTCTGTTGACCTGAATCAGCATTATTTTTGACAAAAAAATGTTTCAGCCAAAAAAAGTTTTCCCAGCTGTCACTGGAACTTTGTGATTGACCAGACAGACTGCTACCACTTAAGCTAATACTGTAACCGATTGTAGTAATAGGTTGTCAGCCTCTGTGTAGACCAGCATTAGCGGGGCATGAGAGACTGGTTTGTCGCTGTGTTTTCTTTTCACTGGCAGCTTGTATTTACACTACAATGATGGAACCTTCTGCCTTGATCACCTTAAAGATTGTGTGTGGAAAAAATTAGCGTCTATACTTAGGTTTTTTCCATTTCCTGTGCAATGTAATGGCTATTAACTATGCAATAAGGGTAACGTTTGGTTATTTTTACTCATGTTGACTAGCATCTTATTACACAAGTAGTCCTACTGAAATCAATTGAACCACATGGGAAGAATTCTCAGCAGCTCTCTAAGACCAAGTATTAGCTTTGGAGATATCTGCCAAGTTTTGTGAAACTCTGGCTTTGTCCCAACCAGAGCAGCTCCTACTCAGAGAAAGCCTTAGCTATCTTCTGAGAATCTTAGAGCTTAATTGATCCAATTTGCAGTGGCTAAGTCCAAGGACGGTCTCTTGGGAGAAAGAAAGTCACCCAACAACCATGAGGGATTCCCTCAGAATAATCTTTATTGAGGGCCCTTTTAGATACTACTGTAGCATATTTATTACTGCTGTTATTACTTACATGTCAGAAGGCTGGCCTAAGAGCTTTTCTCCTCCTATGCACAGGAAACATGAAGTCCTAAACACAATCCATTGCACTGTAATAGGGGAAAAGTATCAATCGTGCATTGTGATCCAGATAGTTTCCAGGCTACAGGAACCATCCATTGTCTACAAGCTATGTGGCCAAATAATGCCGAACATGTTGATTCAGTCAGAGTTCTGGGGGGTACCTACTGATGATTCCACCGCCTTTCAGATCCCTGTAATCAGCCAAAGACTCCAGAAATAAAACGATTTCTCAGGTCTGCTCTCTGATCCAGGCAAATACTCAAGCAGGGGAGCTTTCTTTTTTATTTCACTAGGAGGGTGGGGAAGTACTGGAATGGGTTACTTAGGGAGGTGGTGGAATCTCCATCCCTAAAGGTTTTTAAGTCCCATCTTGACAAAGCCCTGGCTGGGATGATTTAGTTGGGGTGGGTCCTGCTTTGGGCAGGGGGCTGAACTCGATGACCTCCTGAGGTCTCTTCCAGCCCTCGGATTCTGTGATTCTCCTTGCTCTCTCTTTTCTTCCCTTCTCTTTTTTTAACCTTTTCCCTAAAGGAGGGTTGGGAGGAAAAAAAAGAAGTGAGTATATTGGGATGGAGAACTACTTTTTTCCAAACACTAACTGGATGTTTGCCAACTCAAAAAAACTGAACAATAGCTGAAAAACTATTTTAAAATAGTATCCCTGCTTTCCCATATTTCTTTCATTTTTTACAAAAAAAAGTCTGAAAAAATAAATTACATTTTTTACAATATTTTTGTGGGAAAAAATTTGTATTTTTCTGCCCAGTTCTGTGCATAACACGGAGCATGGAACAGCAGCCTCCAGGCTGAGAAGAATACCAGGGAGTCATGCCTTGCTCCCTCCTCCTTCCTGGGAATGTTTTACGAGAAACAGAGGGAGCATCTCAGGAGCAGCTCTCGTATTTCCCTGACCACCAAGATGAAATTCTGTGCCCTTCGTGTGTGGGCCTCAAAGAGGGAAGCAACAGCAGCTTGACTTGCCCCTTTCCTCTGAGTTAGTGGAGCTGGCGGGGTGCATGAAGAGAAGGTGCCACAACCGATAAAGGGATGATACAGAAGTCTTTCTCTTTCTCTCTCTATACACTCTGCAGCTATATAAGCCTGCTGGAAAGCTACCTCTCTAACCTGGGTGGTATCGTTAACAGGGACCGCATACAGGCGCATTTTCAATCGTGCTCAGTTTTGGCCTACCTTAGCTCCCCCTGAAATCAACAGATGATTTTTGATTGATTTCAATGGGCGCAAAATTAGGTCAATGTGGGAGGCTTTTGAAAGTATAATCTATGCTTTGTCTAATCTAGCTCCAAGGAAATCAAGATACAAAAATTCCCACTCATAAACACTTAAAATGCACAAAGACCTTAAAGAAATGGTAGAAGCCATTGCTACGTATTAGCCAAGTATGCAATGGGGCACCACACACCTCAGAAAAGAGTAACAACATCTCAAACCTATTGGAACACCTCCAGACTTAATGAAGCATAAATAGAGTATCTTAGTCCGCCCACGAGCATTTCAGATATAAAGGACCCTATCCAGGCACTTTAAAAGACACATCTCCTTGCCACAGATATGGCAATTTTGTGCACTATCTTTGGGAGACCTTACTATAGTAAGGGTGCGTCTACACAGCAAATTGTGTATCTTATTTCGATTGGATTTTGAAATAGCGTATTTCAAAATTTGGTGCGTCTACGCAGCGCCACATTTCAAAACAACGCGCTATTTCAAGACATCTCTTAACCCTCATGGAACGAGGGTTACAGGGATGCCGGAATAGCACGTCCGCTATTTTGAGACCTATCTTGAAATAGCGGATGCGTTCAAAAGACGCGGGGAGCCTATTTCGGGATACTTCTGGTGTCGTGAAATAGCCCCACTGTGCAGATGCATCCTAAGTGTATGTATGAATGTGGGCCAAGGACTATATGTTATTCCAAGGGGCAAGTTCCCACAGTCCTCCAGGACCTCAAAATGATGTGGGATGATAGACAAATTCGCGCAGGTTGTAACACCTCTAGAGAAATACCTCCTCCTGGGAAGACTCGCGTATACTTAGGGCCATTAACAGCAGCCATGGGAGTGGCTACAGCACTGGGATTTTGAAATCATTGCTGGAGCCCTGGGTAGCACTGAAAGAGCTGGCTGGGAGAGACTAGCCTCAGCCCCACCCTTTCCATTCAAGGCCCTGCCCCTTCCGGAAGGGCCCAGAGCCAGCCCCTCATAACTTCCCAGGGGCCCAGCATTTCTGTCCTCAGCTCTGCAAACACTAGTTCCAACTGGGCTAACACACAAAGGCCGTGACTTGGGGATAAATTGGCTGTGCTTAAACTCAGGGCCTGCTTCTGCAAACAGATCGGACCTTCTGCCCAGAGGGAGGGTCCCGAACTGTAGGGAAGGGTTAGAAAGTCGGACACTCGCCAGAGCTTTTGTGGGGTTGGGATGATTTCTGACAAGCTTATGAGCAGGTGGGTTCTTTGGCTGTTCTAATGTTTTCCCTGTTATGTTTTCACCGTGAGAATAGAAAAGGCTGTGCCGTACCTTGTAACTGTGGCAATCCTGCTGTTCGTAGTCTCCACAGCAGGCAGGCAAAGCAGATCTGTTGCGGCAGTCTGGCATGCTGAGAAATTCACACCATAGGAAAGGAACTGTGCAGCCTGGTCAGGAGGGGAAGAGATTCTTGTCTCTGCCCAGGAAAGGCGATGGCTGGAGAGATGGACAACAGAGGAGAATACAGGTGCAGTTGCCCCAGAACTTTTACATTCTCCTTCCTTATGTTTGAGAGCAGTTACAAATATCCTGTAAAGTATCAATTCACCCAAACTATAGAGGACAGCCTCCATTTCAGTGAACCCAAAGGAAGGCAATTATCTAGAAGCCAATCTTATTATTAAACATTAATTTCACCATTTCATCCAAAGCAACTACAAAGAAGTGATCAATAGAGAATCTGTAAGATATGTACTAGGCAAATTTTAAGCACTAAAAGACCAGACACACTGAAAGAGTTTTAATTGTTATTAAGAAAACAGTGAGGAATAGAAATGTATGCACACTTGATGCTGAAAAGGATAAATAGCCTTTTTTAAAGTTAGGGAAAAATAGATTTCCCAATAGAATATATTGAATACAGCCACTCCCCAAGAACACATCAACTTACGACCATTCGTATTTACGACCAGCCTCCTATACAGCCGGTCCCTGAGTTAAGAACGAAATCCGCACTTACGAACAGCGCGGCCGTACGTAAGTGAATGTAATCCGACTTACAAACAGATCGAGTTACAACCTGGTGTTTGGTAGGTAACTCGTTCGTAAGTAGGGGATCAGCTGTATAGAGATGGTCATGAAAAAAATATGTTTGGGATATTTTTAGTGAAAATCAAATATCCAATAAAACATATCGTCAAAACCTCAACATTGAAATTTTTTGACCCATTTTGGGACAATAGATAAGCAAATCCAGCAGATTATAACATTAAAATGGATAGGTTACTTGAGGCATTTTGTCCAAAGCTTTGTCGAGTTATGCATATTTATATTCATAAATATTGAGAGGCCCCAGTCAAGATCAGGGCCCTGCTGTACTAACAGCTATGCAAACATATGAAAACAAAATATTTACCCAGAAGAATTTATAATCTAAATAGAGAGATACAAATAATGTATACATTTCTAGGGACAGGGGGCTGAGGGAGAGAGTTTAAAATCAAATGAATAATCTTCATGTGTATTCATATATAACTCACATTAAAAATCTTAGCCAAGATTTTCAAAAACCACTATTGATTTAGGGTGCCTTAGTTTCTGGGATGCCAAATTTCTGATAAACGTTTAAAGCGTCTGATTTTCAGTTGGTTTACACTCAGCACTTTCTGAAACTCAGTCTATGGTCATAGAAAGGTGAAGTGGCAACAAGAGTCCTCTGACCTTTATCACAAATTGTTTAATTTCTTGCAGGCCTCTTGCAGGAAGAGATAACAGTGGATTATCCTCTTCAAGAGATGCCAAAAAGTATAGGATTGAAGAGGCGGGGGGAGAGAAGACTCCATGTCGGATTTTTAATTATGTGTCTATTTTCCCAACAAACAAGTGCAATTTGCAATTGCAAATTTAATTATGTCTATGATATTATACAATGCCTCCATTACTAGTGGAATCAAAAATGCCTAGAAGAAAAGTGCATTAATACATAAACACTCTGTTCATATCAGATGAATATTTTGTACTCTAAACACACCCAGATATAGTAGTGTTTAATTATGCATCACCAGCGTTACTACATAACAGACTTCAGAGAGGCAGAGAAACTGACTTAAAACTCTCCACATCCCTGCAGATACTCATGTTCCCTGATGTACCAAAAGCATGCAGAAGATCCTCCAGCTTCAGTCTCTGACAGTTGTCACCTCTGTACACTTATGAATAAACCAGTGGGTCTCTCGGCTTCCACCAAGTCTAACTGCAGAGCAGCACATCAAATCGACAGGCGTTTCAGTATGTTGCGCAAATGACAAACAGCGGGAACAGCAGAAAAGATCAGAGGGTTGCATAATTTATACAGCACAGTACCATGTAGCGCAGTGTTTGGAATGTAAGATGCACAGTACAGGGGGTTGAGCTCTGATCTCCCTTCCATTGCTCCCGATCCAGAGTAGCCCCACTGTATTCTGCAGATTTACTCTTGATTTACACCAGAAAGCAGAATTTGGCTCAGATTGAAGCAATGTTTCTTCACGCTAAGGTTCTCAAGTGACATATTCATTACTTTTTCCTTCATTCTTATATAACAAATATTATGGACTAGATTGTGACATGAAGCATAGCACAAAACAGAGGATGGGGCAGGATCTTGATGCTTTCTTCTACCACTAGCAAAGTGGAGCATCCATGCATGGGTCGGGGACTTGAGCTCCTGTTGGGGACTGCCGGCCTGTTGGGCTCTGTTTAACGAAGGTTCTGGAGTTGCCAAGCAGAAGAGTGTAACATACTCCAGCCTCTAGTTTCTGTGTTATCTCGTGTCTGAATTAGGAAGGAATATAATGGTTAAATTCAAACTCTTCAAGTCCTATTGAGAACAATACAATGCCTCTGCCAGCTCGTCTGCAGGAAATGGAGTCAACGAGCCATCTACTCCCTGCCCCTCAAGCAGCATGTCTCAGGATTTAGCCTGCTGTGAAAATATCTGAAATATGGATGAATATTTGAACATGACAAATTTTTGTACCAATTCCAAGGTAGGGGAGGACTTAGAGGTTGGGTGCATGTGTGTGATAGAGAGAAATTCATTTAAAAAAACTGGCAGCAATTTCAACAAAACTTTCATAAACTTTTAACTTCATTATTTGCATACTATTTATGTGAATGTCACAACTTTTATAAGAGTCCATAAGGTATGGACTCTGTGCACATCCTCCTGATATAGATCCATGCACAAATGGGATGGTCTGGATCTAAAAATGTGCTTGGCCACCATATCATAGCATGTCCCCAAAACACAATGCAACCTGAGCTGATGCATCAGCTGAGGCATGGGACAAGACTTTAAAAGGCACGCAGGAGGTGACAGAACAGGCTTTTGCAGAGAACATGGATGCTCAAAAGGCTGGTTTGTGAGACAGCACTAGATGCTTATTTGTATTCAAATTCTTTGAGTCCTAGAGAGAGGGGAAGAAGTAGGACCCAGACAGCAGCATATATCCTACAGGTTTGGTATCTTCTTACCTCCTCCTCAGTGGTCCTTACAAAATAGAGATTGGAGTCTTTTTACCGTAGGAAAAGGTTTTGGGAGAAGTATCTTGGTGCTAAAAAGCAGCAATGTTTGAGACTCCATATTGGGTCTTGTGGAACGGGACAGATCCTATCAAGGGTGGAGTTTTGGGACTAAACCCACCAGTCAGGCCCCCTAGTCTCTTCCTTGCCAGAGGAGGCTGTGAAGGCTAGGACTATAATAGAGTTTAAAGAGAAGCTGGATAAATTCATGGAGATTAGGTCCATAAAAGGCTATTAGCCAGGGGATAAAATGGTGTCCTTGGCCTCAGTTTGTCAGAGGCTAGAGAGGGATGGCAGGAGACAAATTGCTTGATCATTGTCTTCGGTCCACCCTCTGGGGCACCTGGTGCTGGCCACTGTCGGCAGACAGGATACTAGGCTAGATGGACCTTTGGTCTGACCCAGTACAGCCGTTCTTATGTTCAGTCTTGTGCTGCTGATTCTATTCTATTCTATTCTAAATTTGGTTAGCAATTGAATATGCTGATTTCAACGAATGTTTCAATTTTTGCCTTTAAAAGGGATGTTTATAAAGAGGTATTTATCTCTCATGGAGCTACTTCTGCAACTTTGTAAAGCAATGTTTCCTATGTCATCTTACATTTTAAAAAATCCTTATTTTGCTATACTTTAATAAGCTCCTGACTTTATCTGATGTTTTCCTTCGCTTCTCAGTTATGTTCATACACTATGACAGGCAGCTGCATACATCTCCTGTAACATGGACTAACACCTGTGAATAGCTTTCGTGCCTGGTCTATGACAGAATAAGGTTTAATCACGGGAAGAGGTTTTTACAACTGACATGCTGGGCATCCCTGTTTCACCACCATTCCAGCTCTATTGCCATGGAAACATCCATGACCAGGCAATGCGTAGTTCAAGTTTCTTCAGCTGGCATTTTAAAACAGCCTCTCCCGTATTCACTGATAGGGCACTGGCCCAAGCGGCAAGCACAGATGCCTTGGTAGAACTTGCCCCTGCAGCTTTGAAGTGTCACAGAGTCTTCTGAAAAGTCTATGTATGGAGAGAGCCAGAGAGGGAACATTGATCTCACACACACAAAAAGGAAGAAAAGTCCAGGAGTCTTAGTGGGGTTAAATCCCTGATCCAAAAGACGTCCTAAATGACTTGGGTAAAAGGGATAATGGTGTTTCTCTACCTTACAGAGATGCTGTGCAGATAAATATATTAAAGATTGGCACTCAGATAGGATGGAGATCATGTATGTACTTAGATGTGTGTATCCATATTTTTCTATCTTTATCTAATATCTACAGAAAATACACTATTTTTTGTGTGAGAGTCAAGACCGGTTGAAAATTGGACAAAAGTTAAATGTTGCAGTGTATGTAAAAGGCCTGGTTAAAAAAAATCCACCGGGGCTCCTAGTCTACGAAGAGCCCAGTACCAGAATATGTACAAAGGGCAAGCTTACAAAGCCCAGTGAGATGTTATAAAGTTTCCAGAATCCATATAAGCCAACTAATCTACTACATATTTGAGAGAGTTTGTCTGTGTATGTATCAGAGGGGTAGCTGTGTGAATATGAGTCTCCATAAACAACGAGAAGTCTTGTGGCACCTTTTAGACTAACAGAATGATTGGAGCATAAGCTTTTGTGGGCAAAGACCCACTTTGTCAGATGCATCTGATGAAGTGGGTCTTTGCCTACGAAAGCTTCTGTCTGTGTATATGTCAGTCTGTGTCTGCCAGTCTGTCTGTTCAAGGACTCCTAAACAGTAAGAGTTAGGACCACTAAATTTGGGATGCAGCTTCCTCTTATCATAGCTTAAAGCAGGGGTAGATAATAATTTGGGGGGGGGGCACTTGGTAATGGTCAAGGGCCCCACTTCTGTGGAGGGGGTGTGGAGTCTGGGACAGTGGGTGGAGTATAGAAGGGAGTTTGGGTGAAGGAGGGGGTTATGATCTGG